GTGAGTCTCATGTAGGCTCCACTCCTTGTAAGAGAGTTATGTCTCATTTTGTATTTGAATTCTGTGCACATAATTCATTTAAGATAATTTAAATAAGTGTACTTTTTAATTTTTTACAAAAAAAAAATATACAAAAAAAATGAAAAAAAAAAATGTAACTCAAAAAAATAAAAAGATAAATAAATGCAATATTTTAGTGCAACCAAACAAACTCTTCCTCTTAAGAAAAAGTAGATCCTCGGTTCAAAAAAAAAGAAAAAGAAATAGAAAAAGTAGATCCTTCTCTCTCTCTCACACGCGCGCGCGCGCATATGTGAATCTGCCACCCTATCGCCCATACCCGTTGTCCATGGAAATTTTAGTGCTTATCTCACATATATTTAACTAATTTTCATCATTTTAATACGAAAATTGAGAGCTTCAACAATTTTGCATTTGCAAAATATTTTTGTTTCATTTAGATTTAGGTTTTATTTGGAAATAATTAAAATTTTATATTTTCTATATTTAGTGAATTTTTTTTATAAAAAATGTTAAATTTCTTTTTTTGCGCCCATTTAGTTCAAAAGGATCTTTTTTTTTTTTCAAAAAATTCAAAAAAAGTTCAGATTTTTTTTAAATACTTTTTAGCTCTAATCTTACAAAATCAAAAGCAAAATGCATTTTAATTTTTTTTAAGAATATTATAAAAAAAAAATTACAATAAAAAGAATTACTTTGGCGTACCACCTCATATTTATAGGACTGTATTCTAAATAGATATAAATGATACAACCCATTATATCAATAATATATTAACACAAAAAATGATATACTAAAGGTAATATAAAAAGATGATAAGTGTACTATTATTCTTACCAGAAAGCCATTATCAAATCCACTATGTGAGACACCTTCAATAACTTGACTTTTTGGTTAAAATAGTCGTGCAAAAAATAAAAAAATAAAAAAATTAAAAAGTCAATAAAAAAGTTAAAAAATATACATATTGAAAAAAATTATCAAACATCTCAATAATTTATGATTTTCAATACAATTAAGAAAAAAAAAAAGTCATTTTCAAACACATTAACTTCTTTTTCACCTCATAAAAAAAATTAAAAAAACACTAAAAAAGTTAATTCCAAAGCGAGACCAATCCCTACATATGAACACAACAATACTACTCCGTCAGAATCACTATCTAATAATTTTTTGGATAAACAACTAATAGGTCTTAGATTTAATTTCTATCAAATCCTATTAAAATAAATTCTAGTAAAATTATCGCTAAAATAATTTTTTGAGGTGTTTTTTTTGCATGTCGCTAAAAATTATCAATTATTGATTTTTTTTGTCACAATTTTTATAAATTGTCACTAAAATTTATAATTAGTGACATTTTTCAATGACAAATTTTTTACACTGTCGGTGAAAATTAAAAATTAGTGAATTTTTTGGTGATAATTTTTTTAAACTATCACTAAAACTTATAATTGATAATATCTTTTGTAACAAAATTTTTAAACTGTCGTTAAAAATTAACAATTGGCATAATTTTTTTATAGTATTTAATAAGAAAATGTCAATAATTATCATATAACTTATTAAATAATAAATTTACCCATTAAAATTTATACGTAAATTCTCCTAATTTTTTTCTATTTACCTTATCATCTATATGTGGAAAGATAATTACTCACTGAATGTGATGAAGTGCTACCATGACATTAAAATTTTAGTCCACACATTAAAATGTTCCTAAATTTGGATGAAAATAAGTGGAAGAGAGTTGTAGTACACCACCACACTAAATGCTTGTATGGTACTCGTCAATTGGATAGGGACTTGGGGCCATCTGCGCTTTGTAAACTGGTTATGTAGTCAATGATTATGTTTGGTTGTAATAGCGATCTCCATGCAATCCGTCAAAATTATACTTTGCCCCACTAACATGGAATGTCCGTCAAGAAAATTATTAGATACTTTTAATGTAATATTTAACTTTCATAAAATTTTCAACAAATAAAAAATTCCAATTAAATTATGTGAATCGTTTTTTTTCTTTCAACTATCTAATAAAAATAAGTTATTATGTTTTATCAATATTTTTTTTTACAACTTTATTAATTTGGATTACTAGATAAACAATATCACATTTTGCTATGAAAATACCCAATAATTATTGTCCAATGTCACATGTTGCTCACTTTAGAGATTTAAGAAAATTTTAAGAATGAATTGTGTGAGGACATAATTTTTGAATGACAATACGTGGCCGAGATGTCACTGAAGTGTCAGCCGAGGTGCCACGTGTTCTGATCATGACGCCGAGGTGTCACGTGTTCTGATCATGACGCCGAGGTAATCTCGGCTAGGCCGAGGTTATCTGCGAGGATACCGGAATCTGAGATAAGCGGATAAGGGACAAGAATCCTAGAATGGGAGAAAATTTCAGTTTGGGTGAAGATGAGACTCCTAAAGAGTTTATCCTAATTCTACTGGGAGTTCAAGATTAGTAGTAATCCTAAGTCCATTAGAGCTAGGCTTTTATTGGGATTAGGATTGTGTTAGCTACAAATGGGAGGCACCCTCATGGGTCTAAGGCATGTCTTTTATGCTTTTGATATTCTGTCTAGTGAGTTAAGCAGTATTGGTTATCTTTGAGAGATATTGAGCATTGACTTGATCGTCGGAGTGCCCCTGAGTGGACGAGCCACCGCCGAAAACTCTTCTTTCTTGATCGTCGGAGTGTCCCTGGGTGGACGAGCAACCGCCTGAAACTCTTCTTTCTGTTGCAGGTCGTTCGGGTTTAATCTATTCTGCCGGTGCTCTCCAACTGGGTACCTGTTTGGCATGTAGTCGGAAATTGACACACAAAAATTGAATATCATGAAGTGGATTGAAATGGATAATTTCATGTTTTTCCTCCTTAAAAACAAATGTAATTAAAACACGTGGTAATAATTATCATAAATAGTCAAAAAAAAAATTTCTATATGAATGATCTAATAAATGCGATCTAAAATATTATACATTGAATAATCAAAGTATAGCCGTAATCGGCCCACAAACCCAAACTAAACTATCCAATCTTTTTAAAGTACTATACCAAATGCTAAGTGTTTTTTTTTTTTTTTTTTTAAAGAAATGCTAACAACCACTAATGGAAAATATATCAAAAAATATAAAAATGTATAAAAATATATAAAGTACAGAAAAATATGTAAAACGTATATTAAAATTATATCTTATTTGACATTATTTGATCCTTAATGAACACCCAATGAGCAATTTGTTGGCAGAATTCATAAAAAATTGATACATTTTTTTCCTACTTTATTAGTAACAGATTAATTACAAATATAAGAATAATTATATTAAACTAATCAATTAGAATCTAACACATATTAGAAGCCCGATAGGCACCAAACCCAACAACTACCATAAGAAACAGCTCAAATTTGGGAAGAAATAAACAACTACCTACAACTCCTATAATGAGAGAAATTGTTGGCAAAAAATATATTGACTCCTTAATCTCCCAAATAGAAGACTATAAAAGTGGCTAATTGAGTTCATCAATGATTCAGAGCACTACAACATGGCAATGAGAAAAAAAAATAAAAAAAAATTCAAGACTAAAATATCACATCACATAAATGGGACACACTGCCAACTCATTAGAGTTAGCTTTAGAACTCAAAAATTAGAGTTCAAAGCATTTTTCAATTGAGTTACCCCCAAGTTGATTTGAGACAAGATTCACCCTCACTCACTGGAGGATTTGACAAAAGCTGACATCCTATAGAGGAGAGCTCCAAGGGCAGTTTGTTTCCAGACTTAGGTTGAATAGAATTAGTACAAAAATTGTTATTGAGGAAATTTAAAAAAAAAAAAATTGTATTTATTTGTGATATATTTTAGTACGGGGATCAGCTATATGAAATACAATAAATATCCTTTGGTGTTTTTGAAAACCACACACACAAACACACATACATTGGCAAAATATAATTTTTCCAAGTTAATCCCCGCACTAATTTTGAAACCCAATCCTTGGAGACCTTTGCTAATCCTCTCTTCCAAGGTCCATGCTAGTTCGAAAGGACTACTGATCCCAGCTTCACTTTGCCAACAAACATGATATTAACAGTCTCAAGGAGGTTTGGTGGATATATAATGATTAGAGATATATGGTGAGATATAATATGTTTAGGATATAAGATGAATTATATATACATATATATATATATATATATATGAATTATGAAACCATGTTAAATTATGGAGCCATGTATATACTATGTTTAGTTAGAATAGAATATAACATGGGATAAGAAGAGAATGATTATTTTTTTACCGTTAGAAGAAAAATAACTCATTCTATGATGGGGGATATGCAATACCAAAAGCGATGTGGTATTGCATATCTTGTACTTTTAGGGGTATAATATACCACTGAATTTCATATCAAGTATCTAAATAAAGGATATAAAAAATAGAATAAATTTTAATTACAATTTTTGAGATTTATCTAAACTACAAATTCTTTCTCGAGTTCATAAAAAGGAATAGTAATTAGTATATTGACACATGCATATTACTGTATCATCATATGAATCTGGCATGGAGCAAGTTAAAATTATAAAACCTATGACGAACTATATTTATATTTTATTAAAAGTGAATTTTTTTTGTTCTTAAAAAAAATGGATTTTTGTAGCTTGTTTACCATATGTTCTCTTTAATTCTACTAATTGTGTTACGACATATGTGTTTGTTATTTAGAATGCAAAACATAATTGCAAAACAATCAAAAAAGCAAAAAAACCTCAAGTGAAATTCCGATGAAAATAGTTGAAATTTACTTAATTCTAAATAATTTTTTTTTCTGTATATTTTAATTTTTAATTTTTTAATTTCAAAAATAATTTTTAATTATTTATTTAAAACCAAGCATATATAGAACACATATTATATAACGAACAATTCAATGAAATTGCAAAACATGTGTTTTATTTGACAAACAGTTGAGTTATATGAAACCAACATTCACAATTTTACAAGAAAGTCCTAAATTATTGTGGTTTGATAGTTACATCAATGTCCATTTGAGCAAGGAAGATTGCCTATGGCTTTGACCTCCTCTCTAAGAACAAATTTTTGTATCTTTCCAGTTGAATTGACTGGCAAATCCCCAAAAACTACACTCCAAGGAGCCTCATAATTTGGCAATCTATCTCTACAAAACTCAATAATTTCTTGGGCACTTGTACTACTGCACCCCTCTTTCAACCTAACAAAAGCACAAGGCGTCGCCCCTAAACGCTCGTCAGGCCTCCCAACAACAGCGGCTTCAAGTACCATTGGATGACTAGCTAGCACTGCTTCAACCTCAAGTGTGCTTATAATCTCTCCCCCACAACTAATTGTGTCAACAACACGGTCCATCATTTGTATGTATCCGTTTGGATGTCTAACTCCCAAGTCCCCAGTCCTATACCACCCGCCCCTAAAAGCTCGTTGAGTCGCTTGTGAATTTTTTAAGTACCCTGACATCATAGTGTTGCTCTTAAGCATCACCTCACCGATGGTTTTCCCATCAGACGGTACACTTATCATTGTTGTTGGATCTTTTACATCAACTCCTTCCATCATAATGTGGTGGATCCCTTCGCGACATTTTAGCTTTTCACGTTCATCACCTAAGGGTACTAACAATTTAACAGTCACTGGACCTAGTGCTTCTGTCATTCCATAGGCGTGAATGACATTGAAACCCAATTCCTTAATTTTGTTGACAGTTTGAGGTGGTGGCAGTGCTCCAGCAACTATCATAACTGCCTTGCTAGAAAGTATCCGATGATCTGTGGTGGGAGAATTTGCAATCATGTTCAATATGGTGGTTGAACCACAAAAATGTGTCACCTTGTGAAGACAAATGGAATCAAACATGACTTTTGTTGTGACATTTCTAATACAGATATTGGTGCCACCTAAAGCCGCCACTGCCCAAGTGAAGCACCACCCATTACAGCGAAACATGTCCACTGTCCATAGAAACACCGGCATCTCTCTCATCTCACTGCGAAAAATCTCAGCCAACGTATTAAGATAGGCGGCTCTATGGCTATACACCACGCCCTTAGGCATCCCTGTTGAGCCAGAAGTGTAATTCACTGAGATTGGATGACACTCATCACTTGGAGGTATAATCTTGAAATCAATTTGTCCTGTTGCTAGAACCTCGTTATAGTCTAGGCTACCCGATGGGAGTTCTTTTATGAATATTGAAGATTTATCATCCTCTGCGACAACAACAAGAACTGGAGGCTTGGTTTTGGTTAGCGATGAGAGCGTCTCCAATGCTTTGAGGCCAACTTCAAGAAATTGGTAATCGACAAAAATGATTCTGGGCTCTAATTGTTGTAATAACAATGTTAACATGGATGCATCAAGCATTGTGTTAAGTGCGGAAAGGACTGCCCCTGCCATTGGAACACCAAAGTGCAATTCATAGAGTGCTGGAACGTTCGGGGCCAAAGCTGCAACCTGCCCTTGTTACAAAATTAGGGTTTTCAAGCATAGTGAGAAATTTAATTAGCACCCAAGAATTTATCTGGCTTCCAAAAAATTTGAGTTTTTGGATATATTGATGTGCCATGAAAATTTGAGGCCATGAAAACCATGCATGTATCAAATTGTTTCAAATCTACAAAACGTAGGGGGGGGAAAAAAAAAGAAGTTGCAATACAGAAATAAGCCTAACTAATTAATTAGTCTTGCCTTCTTAAAGAATAAATAAAAGTTCTGTCCCGGGTAGGTTGTCCCCTAAGGCGATTTTACTGTATCAGGTCATTTTTTTCATTTTAGAAACCAAGCCCCCAATAACTAAAATTGATACGGAAACTTGTTAAAGAAACTGGTTTTAAAAATTGTTTTCATAAAAGTTTTCATTCCTTTTTAGGCAAAAAAACTGCAATACAACGATTATATAGGAGTGTCTTGAGAAAATAGTAAAAAGTGACTTTTTAACTTTTTTAGACAAGTGAATTGAGAGGTTGGTAAAAAGTTACTTTTGACTTTTTTGATTAATATTAGTTTATGATATCAAATCACAATAAAATGACCAAACTACTTTTATTCAATTGGAAATATTTATAACTTCACTCACGTAACACATTTTGACCCATGAGGGGTAGAATTGTAATTTCACCAGTGGCTGAAAATCAACTTCCCAAATGTCTTTAAATACAAAAAAGTCAATTTTTAACTTTTGCTACAAACACACAAACGTGACTAAAAGTCAAATAGCCAAAAGAGACTATAATGTCATTAGTATCATTATCTAATCACAACTTGTATTTTAGTCTTTATATATATATATATATATATGTGGCAAGTCAATTGTACTTATAATTGATCTTTCACATGCAGTTTCATTTTATATGGGTGATATTATTATTGGTATCACCGTTTACAGATTTGGACGATGTGAACCCGACTTACTTAACTAGTATTGTTGAATAGTATATTCGGTCATTTGATTGGAATATTTATATTTTTGATTATTTTAATAACTTTAATCATTCATGTCTCCTATATATAGTTATAGTTATGACATGTTATATCATAAACAAAATGCGAAAAATAAAGTAATTGATTACTTATATAGCTACAATACGTCAATAATATTATTTAACGCTGCTAACAACTGTCTTAAACAAAGGTAACATTTTTATTATTTACAAAATATTTTTTATAAAAATATGAACATTAAATAATATGTAGATATTGTTTAATCAAACCACACATTAGTGCAGTAATCAATTGGATTCGGTGAAATTTTGTCAATGGATTCGAGTTTTTATTGGTGGCATGTGATATGCGTGGAATGGATGTCGATAGGAGTGTAAAAATGGCTCGTGAGTGGCTTAAAATCCGCTTGCTATTCGGGTTAGAGCCAACCCGATTAGGCTCGGTTAGGTCTGGGCCCGAGCCTAGCCTGGGACTCTAGGCCTAGCCTGGGCCATCAAATTAAAGTCTTGCCTGGCCCATCGGTCGATTAATTCCCACTCGAAGCCCAACCCGAGACCCAAAGTCATTTTTTGGTGGAAAAAAATATAAATAAGCCTAACTAATTAATACAGAAATAAGCCTAACTAATTAATTAGTGTTGCCTTCTTAAAGAATAAATAAAAGTTCTGTCCCGGGTAGGTTGTCCCCTAAGGCGATTTTATTGTATTAGGTCATTTTTTTCATTTTAGAAACCAAGCCCCCAATAACTAAAATTGATACGGAAACTTGTTAAAGAAACTGGTTTTAAAAATTGTTTTCATTCCTTTTTAGGCAAAAAAACTGCAATACAACAATTATATAGGGGTGTCTTGAGAAAATAGTAAAAAGTGACTTTTTAACTTTTTTAGACAAGTGAATTGAGAAGTTGGTAAAAAGTTACTTTTGACTTTTTTGATTAATATTAGTTTGATATCAAATCACAATAAAATGACCAAACTACTTTCATTCAATTGGAAATATTTATAACTTCACTCACGTGGCACATTTTGACCCATGAAGGGTAGAATTGTAATTTCACCAGTGGCTGAAAATTAACTTCCCAAATATCTTTAAATACAAAAAAGTCAACTTTTAGCTTTTGCTACAAACACACAAACGTGACTAAAAGTCAAATAGCCAAAAGAGACTATAATGTCATTAGTATCATTATCTAATCACAACTTGTATTTTAGTCTTTATATATATATATATATGTTGCAAGTCAATTGTACTTATAATTGATCTTTCACATGTAGTTTCATTGTATACGGGTGATATTATTATTGGTATCACCGTTTACAGATTTGGACAATGTGAACCCCACTTACTTAACTAGTATTGTTGAATAGTATATTCGGTCATTTGATTGGAATATTTATATTTTTGATTATTTTAATAACTTTAATCACTCATGTCTCCTATATATAGTTATAGTTATGACATGTTATATCATAAACAAAATGCGAAAAACAAAGTAATTGATTACTTATATAGCTACAATACGTCAATAATATTATTTAACGCTGCTAACAACTGTCTTAAATAAAGGTAACATTTTTATTATTTACAAAATATTTTTTATACAAATATGAACATTAAATAATATGTAGATATTGTTTAATCAAACCACACATTAGTGCAGTAATCAATTGGGTTCGGTGAAATTTTGTCAATGGATTCGAGTTTTTATTGGTGGCATGTGATATGTGTGGAATGGATGTAGATAGGAGTGTAAAAATGGCTGGTGGGTGACTTAAAATCCGCTTGCTATTCGGGGTAGAGCCGACCTGATTAGGCTCGATTAGGTCTGGGCCCGAGCCTAACCCGGGACTCTAGGCCTAGCCTGGGCCATCAAATTAAAGTCTTGCCTGGCCCATTGGCCCGATTAATTCCCACTCGAAGCCCAACCCAAGACCCAAAGTCATTTTTTGGTGGAAAAAAATATAAAAAACGTTTAAGTCCTGCCCAAGCCGGAGCCCAGGCCCACCTACCGGCCTAAGATCGGAATATCTCCTGGGCCTGGACCTGAGTCTACTATTTCTAGCTTGTGGATCGGCCGGGCCCGACTGACCCAAATTTTGACGAAAGCCTGTGAGATTTGACATGGGCCGGGCCAAGTCCTGGCCCGGATGGGTTCGGATCAAATTTACACCCCTAGATGTCAACACTTTGTGTAATTAGATTATTTATTTATTTTATTAAACATTACTATTGGTGGTGTTGTAATTTATGCATTATTTTAACATAATAAAAATATATAAATATGTTACAATTTTCTTGCTACACAATATTGCGTGCTTACTGCAATGATAGGTGTAGAGGAAAAATATATAAAAATTTACATAAAAATTAGTATGATCTAAATTCATTTTCAATGTGGTGAATATTTCATTTGGAATAAATAAGACATATAGATTTTTTTATATACATTTTTATACACTTAATTTGTCTAATTTTTTTTTCATGCATCTATAACTCACCATAATTTTAAAAATGCTTCAACTAATAACTTTAAATTAAAGTTACAAAATAAACAAATAGCCTTGTGTCATATATGTGCTTTTTATTTTTACGCTTAATTTATCTTAAGTTAGTTGTATCAAATTATCTCACTCATTTATCATTCACATATGATAGTTGTAATTTCTATTTATATTGTATAGGTGTAAATTTTATCTTAAAAGTTAATTGGTCACAGATGTTATAAAATGGGTCCAGCTGGTCCCCAATCAAGATTGGACCGTCCAATCCGGTCCATGGGTTCATTTTTGAGCATCTTTTAGATAATTTGAATCGTTCAATATATAGAACTCGTCAAGTACTATATTTCTGTTATCACGTTGATCGGAAATCGATAGCTATTTGATTAGATCTAATTTTTGTCAATTGTTTATTTTTTTGTCGTTCATTTTTTTTATACAAAACTGATCTGATCAAATAGTTATCGATATCCGATCAACGTGATTTTCTACAAGGATATAGTACTTAACAAGTTCTACACATTAAACGGTTCAGATTATTAAAACGAGACCAAAAAATGAACACACAAGCCGAACTGAACGGTCCAATCTTAATCTCTAACTAAAGACAAACTAGACCGTTATAAAATAATTTTATCCCACTATAGTACAATATATCTTACAATATTGAAATTAATATTTTGTACCATGTACTATTTTAACATTACTATAATTTTTGTAAGTACATCGGAAAGCAACATTACTATAATTAAATACTATAGTGTTTGAGATTCTCATATATATATATATATATATATATAATTAACAATAGAAATTGGTTGTTTGTTTGAATTGTGATAATCCATATTTAAGTTTTGACTGAATTTTTTTTTCGAGTCTAGCCAAATTTATTGTTCTTTTGACCATGTCATAAAATTGTAAGAATTCAAATTACTCAGGTTGAATCCACTCAATTTGCATCTCCTCGAGTTAGGACATAGGGTAAAGTAAATTTTATAATTTAAAAATCCATACGGTGTTAATAGATATTATTATTATATATCTCAAAATTCATAAGAATAATAATTTTATAACTGAAAAATTTATACAAAATTAATAGACATCATTATCATATGTATTTAGCCGTGCATTGCACACGTTGACTATTAGTATAATATAAATAATAAAATTGCTTCTCTCTTTAAGGTCTTGAGCTTTTAGATGAACTGGTAGTCAATAATTTAATATGGTTATATTAAATTAGTGATCACAATTCAATACGGATAAAAGAGACTGTCATATATCATTCACTCATTTTTATCACTATTTTATATCATCTGATCACATGGCAAAATAGTATTTGTTTTTTATTAATTGTCCAGTAATTATTTTCAAATAGTATTTTTCTTCTTTCTTTAAATTTTTATCTAAATTTATGATTCAAATATAACAATTAAGAAATTCACTATCACCCTAAATCCAACATCATATAATACAAGTGGATTTGTAGGTCTGTTTGAGGTGATGGAGGACGCATGTGAGGTGATTGAAGCGAAGAAAAATTACGTGGTAGTTTTGGAGTAAATTCACATTGTTCTAACTTGTTATTTATTGATTAAAGTTGTAAAATTAAGTACTTTTGTTATGATTGTAAGAAATAACTTGGCAAGTGTTAAGTAATAAATAGAATAGAGTAATACTACCAAACAATCACTCGGTAGAGAGGGATAATGGGTAAAATGTTTTTGGAGAGGGTAAAGAAAGGGAGTTGGGTGAGGAATTAGATTATACAATATGGTAACTCTTTTTGAAATAAAGGGTAATTAAGTAATTTTATGATTTTTGTTAACATGTTAAAAGACGGTTTGTTTTGTAAAGTAGATTAAAAGTTGACTTTTTGTCATTTTTTGAAAAAACGTGTAAAAAAAATATAAAAATAATATGTCAAAAAAAAGTCAAAAAGCTAAAAAATTAACTTTTAACAGAATTCTTAAACTAGGCCAAAACTCTAAGATGGGTGTATGTAACTTTCATAATATCATATGAGGATATTTGTATTTTTGTTATATATCAGGCAATATATTTGTAAAATTTGGTGATTTAAATCGAGATAATCAAGGTTGTTTTAACTTTTAATCTTACTTCTTACAATTAATCAATAAAAATACTTTATTGAGGAATTTGGTGCCTAGACTTATTTTGTAGACTTTATTAAGGCTTATTTTGGCAATTGGCTAAAATATTCAAAATGTTATTACAAAAAAATTAATTTTTTTTTTAATTTTTTTCACAACTTTTCGTAAAAAATCAAAAAATTAATTAAAATAATCAAATTTTAAAACAATCCTAAATAAATGTACCACAAAATATTGTTGGATATTCCACTCTCTTAAAATTTTCCCCAAATTCAAATTTAATGAAATATTTGATGAAATTTCAATTTGATGAAAAGATAATTTTCTGTTAATTTGATGAACATTTAGTAAAAAGATTGGAGGTATTTAAATTTTTAGTACTTTATAATTACTTAAAAAAAAAGAATAATCTAAAAAAATCGATGCTCATATTATGGAGAACATGTTACGAGGTTCACATGTAGACCATTTGGTTAGCAGGATCCCCCCTAATTTATTGTTTACATGTAGACAATTTTTTGTTTGCAGCGTCCACTGATTTATTGTGATGAAGATTTTAATTTGCTTCCATCCAATTATATGGTTGTGATTATTTTTAATTTCTTAAGATTGATGTTGATCATACTACTGAATGTTCGACTTCTTATATATGGACAACTCAATAATAATATACATTTAAATTATTTATTTATTTTAATTATGATTAATTATGATATTTGTTATGATTAATTACAACAACTAATTATGGTATAACTTATGTATGATTTATTGGGCTCATTTGAGAACTTGGCTATTTTAATTGGTTTTGAGTTTTTGACTATTTTAATCTGGTTAAAAAAAATTATGTTTAGAATAATAGTTGATTGTTGATTTGATGGTTATGACAGAAAGTGAAATGATTACGGTTATTTTAACTTATTTTATGTTTATTTACTGTTTTTAGTAAAAAAAAAAAAAAAAAAAAAAAAAAAAAACCACCAACCCAACTTTCCGAACACCAAATGTGGTTTGTTATTTGATTATGAAATCAAAAGATGTCTTTGCGTTATGGCACAAGTAGTAATTATATGATGTAGCTTGGTGTTTGGTGATTGTTAAAAAATGGTTATTAGCTTATTATAGTGCTAGTGTTATAACATATATAATTATTTATTTTAGTTATAATTAATAAACTTGTACTCAAATGATATCTGATTATTATCATTAGGTTTCTTTCAATTATAAATGAAATAATTTAATTATAATAATAGTGATAATCAAAAATATAAATTATTATACTAGCATATAATACACATCACAAAAAATATGTACCAAAAAAAACCCTATAATGTATATATCCTCCTCACAGTTTCAATTCAACAAATCCAAATCACAACAGAATTTTTAAATAATTTTTTAATATTTTGATTAAAATATAAAATAAGAAAAATTAATATATTTAAAATAAGCTTTTAATATAATAAAATGTGTAAAAAATAAAGTGAATGAAAATAAAATTTTAATTTAATAATTTTTTGACTTCTAAAATAAAATCACAACTTATCAAAGGAGGCCTAAGCTACTGAAAGGTGTTTTGAGAACTTTCTGAATTTTTTTTTAGTTTTTTAGCTTTTTAACTTTTTTACACAAAATGTTACAAAAAAAGCCAATTTTTTTAACATAAAAAAGTCAAAAAGTCACAAAAAATTAAAAAATTAACTTTTTACCAATTTTTCAAAATACTACTGAATATTCACATCACTAAGCTGTCCTTTAGGGGTTTGATTTGGTTTTTATTTTTTATATATATTATGTCACATATTACAATTTTTATTATTAATTTTTCCCATTATACCCTTGTTTTGGGAACACGTGTCCCAACTGTGAGAATGGGTGGGATGCTGACAAAAGAAAGGTAGTTTTGTCATTTGATCACATGTCCTAACTTTTGTTTTTTTATTTTCTAACGGTAAGGCCTTTGGCTTTTTATTTTTTGTCTTTTATAAAGTGTTGGTTTAGGATATGGGTTGATTTTTTGATCTTTTAATTTTTTTAATTATTTTAATTTGGGGTTAAAAAGTCTTGTTTGTGATAAATTTTTTAACTTTTATGACTTTTGTGAGAAAAAAAATAAAATGATTATAGTTTGAATCTGATATTTTGTCTTATTAGATTAAAAAGTTTATTTTATCTTTTTGTAACTAAAATAGTCAAAAAGTCAAAAAATTTGACATGCCAAACGAAGGCAAAGTTAGCTTATATGAAGCTTGCCAAACACCCATTAAGTTGGTTTTGGGAAATTATTCTGTGTATTTGGTTTTAATTTTTTGGATTCAATTTTTTAAAAATTAAGTTTTTTATTTTTATTTTTATTTTTAGTGAATATTTTTAAAATTTTAAACAATTTTTTACTTTTTTATATATACCTTATTTAGATGTGTCTAAAAAGTAAAATATTTATAAAAAAAAATATTTTAAAAAATCAATAAATACACTAGAATAAAAAAAAATGTACCGAATTCTCATTTTTTTAAAAATATTTTTAGTACTTAGTGAATTTTCTAAAGATTTTTTCACAATTATTATACTTTTTAAGTGTATCTATTTTTGGTGAATCTAAAAATTAAAAAAACCGCTTAGAATATTTAAAAAAAATAGGGAAAACAAAAAAAAAAATGGAAAATAAAAAATTTTAATTTCCTGAAAAGTGAATCCTGAAAATTCAAACTAAACAAGCTGATTATTTTTGGGATAGATACAAGAAACTTAAAATAAAAAATAAAAAAATCACATTAAGAAAAAAGAAGAAGAACTTTTAACCTTAAAACTATAATTGTGATTCAAAACATTGAGAAATTTCATTCTTAAAATAAATAAATGCTAAGTTGGTTTTGGGAAATTATTTTGGGTAAGATACAAGAACTTAAAAAAAGAAAAATAAAAAAAGAAAAGAAAAAGAAAATCACATTAAAAAAAAGAAGAAGAAGAAGAAGAAGAAATTTTAACCTTAGAACTGTAAGTGTCATTCAAAACATTGAGAAATTTTATTCTTAAAATAAATAAATAAAAAATTAGGGGTGTGATTATGAAAATTATCCAATTTTGATGGAATGAGAAATTTATATATGAAGATAATAAATATTGTTAATAGATCTTAGTAAATAGATTGTAGTTTTAATTTTGTTACTTAAAATTTTAATTTATGTCAATTTAATTTAAATGATGACATCCGACAAAAATCAATGGTGAAATGATTTATTTGTTTGAAAAAATAAACCACTCATCACAAAAGGTATCAAACTTTTTTGAATAGGAGTTTAACCAAGACCTCACACTATAAAACGTGTTATACAACTATTAAGCTAAATGCCCTAATTATGATAAAATGAAACATTAAAAAATAAATGAATCATTTTAGATTAGATGTAAACACCTTAATTACTTTGAAAATAGTGAATAAACCATTTTGTTTTTTCATTTGACTTCAAACTAATTTTTAAATAGGCAATTGGAATAAATTGACACAATATAAAAAAATAAAAATAAAAAAACTAAAGGAAAAAAATGATGAAATCAAAACTATAAAAACTAAATTAATACAAAAAAACAAATTACAAAAACTACTAATATAATTTGTCCCTTCACCTTTGTATATCCACATAATCATACTTGAGACGAAGAATTCGAGTAAAATATTTTTACAAAAATCATTCAACACACGCAAAATTTCAAATACTCATATTTTAGCCATATATAGCAATTCTCAATTGTTAAAAATCATTAATAAGATGATGAAAAAGGGTTTTAGGAGAACTTACAACGTCACCAGGGGTAACACCCAACTGAGAGAGAGCAGAGGCGAGCATGAGACATCTATGGTGAGTTTCACTCCATGAATATCTTGTATTCCCATAGATAATGGAGACCTTGTCTCCATATACAAAAGCTGCTCTCTCTAAAAAGCTTATAGGAGAGAGTGGTACATAGTTGGCTGAGCATTGTACCACCCCTTCCATTTAGTTTTCCCTCTAACATTGAGTTTCTTCTCTACAACAATGCTACCATATATATAGAAAACTGGAGTTTATAATGTAGTATTTGGATAACCACACTATAAAAAATTAAGATTTTAGAAATCAAAATTTAGGAATAAAATTATTTTTTTGGCACAAATATTTTTGATACGAAAAGTGTCGTCATTATATTTTTAGTAACAAAAATTGGAAATTAGTGATGAATTATTATCCTTTTGGGACCAAATTTTTTGTCTAAAAAATTCATTTTGAGAACAAATTATTTTGTCCATAAAAGCCTATTTATTAGTGACATTTTTAAAATTTTATCGCTAAAAGTCTTGTTTTTGACTTTTTGAGACGACCTTTTAGTGACGATTCTCGTGACGATGGAAATTGGTCTCTAAATCTCTTTTACAACAAAATTTTCACTTTTAGAGACCAAAATATTTGATCTGTAAAACCCTTATATATTGTAATGCCAACTCGGCTTTTGTATATTCTCAATTGAGAGATTAGGAGATTAATCATTAGGGTTGCTTTAATATAGTTTATAGAAATGATTATAATTTCTTTTTTATTTTGTAAATTTGTGCGAGATTGTTTGATGCGTCATGTGTTTTATGAATTAAAAATTTGTTAAATATGTTGAATAATGCTTATTATTGGGAAATAGAGGTAGAAGTTGCACCAAGCAGGCATATTGTTGAAGACTCCATTTTTTTTTTCTTCTTCTTATTGTAAGGTTCTTTCTTGTATTATTAGACTCGTTTGGTTAATATATTCCAAATGTCTTTCTATTCATTGCTAATTGATTTTCAGCTGTATGTTTTAATGTGGTATTAGAGTTGGGTCTAGCATTCTTTTTATCAACAAAAAAGTAATTTTGTTGATAAACAATCAAATTACAAAATACTGAGGGAAACATTAACAAAGAAGGCGAGTGCAAGAGTTTGACAGCAAAATAAATTCATTTCAACTAAGGTGGTACCAAAATACAAACCCAATCATTTACTAGCACTATACCAAGAGTTGATAAGAAACGAACTCAGATATAATAAAGCCCAAACAACAGCGATCACCAGTGAATTTCCACCTGAGTCTATTCTCTTGCTTCTCTATCACCTCCACAATTACATGCTTGCAAATTAATTTCGGGTTGGATGCTTTAACCCTTGGTGTTATGTATTATTATTATTAGATTTTTAGGAGAAATATCGTTTTGCCCGTAAACTATTATTCAAAAATCAATTCAATTCTAATTTTTTTTAATAGTATCAATTTTATACCTAAATTATTTGATTTTAGCTCAACTCTACCCTTGGCATTAGCTGCGGTTTACAATCAAATGGAGGTTGCTGACATGATAATGAAATTTTGTTTGAAATTTCATTTTGCCTCTCAAACTATCTCTAAAATATCAATTAGACTCCCCAAACTTCATTTTATTTAGAGGTCTAATTGATATTTTTGGATAGTTTTTAGGGGGTAAAACAAAATTTCAAATGAAATTTGGGTGTCATATCAATAACTTATGTTTGATTATAGACAACAATTGACAATGGAGTAAAATTAAAGAAAAGTCGAATAATTTATGTACAAAATTGATATTATTAAAAGAAGAGGTGTTAAATTAATTTTTGAGCGATAATTTGAGAAGCAAAATAATATTTTCATGACTTTTTAACATAATTGATTGTCCACTCTAATAAAATTCTCTACATATTCGTAACTGATTGACAAAAGGTAAATAAATAAATGGAAAATGCTCCGTAGCTCGAGAAAGTGAGCCTCGAATGGTTCGAATGGTATGGAAAATCTTATCTTACCGGTAAGAGAATCAAAAAACATCCTAAAACGACGTCGTTTTGAGATTTCGAGCTACTCGAGCCACGGAAAATTTGAGCTACGAATCGGAACCGTAAATAAATAAACAAAATGTGGTGTTTGGATGAATACTGAGAGTCGGCCCATGAACTACATATTAAAAACGAGAAAAAATAAAAATAAACACCATTTTGAGTGTATGTGCCGTGAGAAATACTACTTAGGACGTCAGTGGACACATTAATTATCAGCAATTACCTCGTGCAAATTTGTAAATTATGTATGTCGACAACAGCACTTCGGGCGAGTACAGCCACTGCTTCTCTGCCAATAATTGCATTTTTTTTTTTTAAAACAGTTTTAACTTGTTATTTGTAAACTCATTTAAAAATTGTATTAGATTCTTTGGGAGCTCCCACCACTAGTAAAAGAAAATGGAAAACCAGTCACCATGTTTGGTTGTACTTTTTTTGAGTTATTTTTTTAAAAAATGATTTAAAAATTATATTTTAAAAATACATTTGTGTTTAGTTTTCCAAAAAATGTATTATTGTAATTTCAAATTCAACAGTGCTAGAGGGCCACAATTTTTGTGGCCACAATGGCTCAAAAATGTCAAAATGACGTCATTTTGGGTACAAAACAACTCCGAAAATGTCAAAACGACGTCGTTTTAGCA